TGGAGTTTACGGTCATGGAGTTTACGGTCTAAGGAGATCCAACCGTAAACTCATCAAATCATTCACAAATGAAGGTTTTCAAGGGCTTCAAAACAAAGACACTGGATTCTAGGGACCATGCTTAGCCTTAGGAAGGGTAAAGGCTATAAGAACACCCTTTATAAGGGTTTGCAGTCTATAAAGATGCACTAGACCATAAACACCTTTTGTTCTTGAGTTTCTTGATGTTTTGTATGTGTTTAACTAGTGATTCAAGCATATAACTGTTGGATTAGTGTCTAAGTCCATAACTATTTTGGTATGTACTTGACCCGATGGTGCATGGTCCTTTTGGGTTGCCTTCACCAAAGCAACTTGATAGGATGAATTATGGAGAGAAAGGATTAAATATGATATATATATATATATATATATATATATATATATGGGAATAATATATTAAAGGAGAAATCATATTGTTTAATTAATATTAGTCAAGAATTAATAAGAATTAAGTTTGTGACTAAAAGAGATTAATTAAACTTAAGGGACTGGAATTGTAATTATAAGATAATTGCAATTGGGCTATGGATTGCCTTATATTATAAGGTTGGACGAATTCTATGGGGAAACCCATTGGAGATCATCCAAGGCCTTTAAGTAGAGGAGTCCATGGGTTGCTTAGGGCTTAAGCATCCAAATTAGAGTTTCCTTGTTAGATAACCCTAATAGCCTCACTATATATAGAACCCTTATGCTCCAAAAACGTGGTGAACTAATGGTCTAGGGTTTCCACACGTTTTTGAGAGCCTCCTTCTCTTCTCTTCTTCATCCTCTTGCTCTTGGTGTTTGTGAACCATTAGAGGAGTGACATTTGTGACTCTAAGCTTTCTAAAGTCATTACAAGAAGGAATTGTGATTGTTATTGCTACATAACAATCAAGGTAATATCTTAAACCCATTATATGTTAATATTGATTATCATATGCTAGATCTAGGGTTTATAGTCTTGGATAAATTTCATGTACAATAGAGAAACCTAGATCCAAGCATTAGGGTTTTGTATGAGCACATAGGATGTTCTTATGGCTAAACCCCATCAGTGGTATCAGAGCCTTGATTGGTTTCTATTGTATTGATGCATAATGTGTTTGTTCACGTTGAAAATTCGATTTTTTGGCCAACCTGCCTGATGAACTCGGTGAGTTCCATTGTGGACTCGGCGAGTAGGCACCTACTCGGCGAGTCCATATGGGTACTCGGCGAGTTCGAGCGTCAGAAAGAGGGGATTTCGAGATTTCTTGCTGTTTTACTCATGGATACTTGCCTTATCTGTTTTAGATCATTAAAATCCGATTTTATTCATATTTTTGAGTATATCCTTGATTAAACAAAAGATAATTATCAATTGATTAGATAATAACTTCCTTATATGATAAAGATTGGATTATTTGTATTAATTGGGTAACTTATTTTGCAAGAAATTGAAATTAGGTCAAATATAGATAATGATGAAATTAATTGTTTAATTTATATTATTTGTTATTTGATCCTTGTGTTATGAAAAATTTCAATTTTCCCCTTTAGGTTTTATAGTTTAAATTTGAACTCAAAGTTTAGTTTTGAAATTTAAATAGTTGAAACCCTAATGTTTTGAAATGTTTAAAAACTTGTCCTCAAGTTTTGGAATTTAAAAGTTGATTAAAAGTTTAATCCAGGAATGTTAAATTCTAAAACCCTAGTATTGTTTTCAAAAGTTCATATCACACCCTTATGGTTTTATTAATTAATTAAGACGTATAATTAAAAGAGGTTTAATAAATATATAAAAGTTTTGGTTTACATTTAATTGAATTAAAAGTATAATCGTTAAATTTGACCACCTAGTATTTTAAAAGTGTAAAATACACCCTATATTATATATAACATTAAAAGTCTAACATTATATATATATATATATATATATATATATATATATATATATATATATATATATATATATATATATATGTATATGTATGAGTAAAAGTCAATCTTACCGTTAGTAGGCCTCATTCAAGAAGCTGGTATATAAGGGGTGTTTAAGGAAATTGCCTATAAAATGGCGATTGAATGGGTATCCACTCTTACCCAGCGCACTCTTGACTAGTGGACGGTCGTTAGCCGAACGGGTAGGATAGGACAAAACCTTCCATTGTAAGTATAATGAAGTACAAAAGTAACTAAATGTTTTACAAATTCCCAATCTTAGTTACTTAGGTAAAAGTGAATTAATGCAATTCCATGAAATTACACTTTGTGCCCTTGCGAAGACGTTAGTGGAGCGTGTGTGGTTTACCGGCTCACTAAATGGTTCTAAGCAAAGGTAGCAAATGGTGACTCAATGTTTGTCATACTTCGGTGGAGCATGTGTGGTTTACTGGCACATCGAATAGGTAACCGTAACATGTGAGGGCACCATGTAAGTTTGTATGGTTATTCACACCCGCTTTGTGATCCTCGGCATCCCAGTCACAAACAAGAGGGGCATATAGAGATTTTAACATGCCATTGAAAAAGTTCAATGAATCTCAAAGGATCTAGGAGTTTTCATAGATTTAAAACTTAAATTTCTTTTTCGTTTATCATGGTGGAAAATTAGTTAATCATCATTCACTTACCTTCAAATATTCTGCAACTAGATTACGACATCCCTTTTCTAGGTTGTAGCGTATTGTGTTGGGTCCTAGCCTTAATATCTCATTTGGGTGATTTATTAAGGACTCAATCTATCAACTAACTTGAATTTATGTTTTCTCCCGTTTTGTAGATGTCAAAGTTCGACAACTATGGTCTACCCAAATCCTGTGGAACAAGCTTTCCACATGAAGATGATATTCCATGATTCGATCGAGGAACAAGAGATCATGCTTCACTTCCTCCTCCTCCTCCCGTTGTTCTCCCTAACCCACAAGATCGAAGAATTGAAAGGTTCAATGTCACTAAAGCCCTATTGGAAATGAAACATGAAGATGGTAAACCCGTGTGTGCCCATGTTCTAGGAATGAAATCACACATTGGTAGGTTTAAAATGTTAGGTGTGTCATTCCCGGATAAGTTGGCTGTAAACTAGGTTCTGCAGTCACTTCTCGAATCATATAATGAGTTCAAAAGAATGTATTATATGATGGATCATGACGAAAACCTCATTAACCTAACTTACATGCTCATTGCTGCTGAATCAGAAATGATTTGGCAAAGCAATGAAGCGTATTTGTTGGGAAAGTCAACCAACGATGCTTCCGAGGACGTTCTAGGAGAACCGACCAGCGTTTGCTGCCAAGAGAAAGGGCGTTGGGTACAAGGCTACCCTAAGAGCCTGAAGAGTCCAGAAGATGGGAGAGTCAAAGAGTATGGTTGTACTTCACGTAAAAATCCACTATCTAACTCGATTAAGTTCCTATTCATTGATTCTTAATACATAATGTGATAAGATTGCATTTGAATGTTTTGCAGGATTGATGAAAAGAGAGGAAGCTTGATGAAATAGCAAGATAAATCTAAGACATGGATTCGAAGATTAGATTTTGAGCTTAGATAGAGTTGTTAGGAATATTTATTACATAGTTTTTCAGTTGATTATGCATTGTAAGGACAAATGTTTTCCACTGCTTTTATAAATAAAATAAATTTTGTTTGACGTGTTTATTTATTTATTTCCTTGCAATGAAATCGTTATGAAGAATTGATGTTCATATATTTACAACAAATGGATGTGATTCTTAATTATGTTGTTTGTGGAAATGTCGAGAATTTACCAACTAGGGAAAGTTTCTCATCATCCAAGTTTCAATTGGATAGAGATTTGGAATCGTACATCAAGAATTGTATGATGAATGAATAAACTTTCACATTTGGAAATTAGACTAATTCGTTGACAAAGTGTCAAGTGAAGGAAAGGAGATCAAGTACACAAAGTTGTGTATTGATCAAGTCCACCATAAGAGTAACAATGATATTCGTCATGATTTACTAAAGGTTTAGTAAATATGATTATACTTACAATATTAAGTGTAATTCTGAATTGATTGAAAAAGGTTTAAATCGATACAAGAATGAATAAAGTAGGCAGAAAGTTAAAAGTTTCTCCATTCTAAGAAGAAGGGAGAGTACCTTTTACACTTTATCACTACTAGAAAAACAGCCTTTTACGACGCGCAAACAATGACACGCGGTGATTTACGATACGCAAAACTGGGCGCTCTAAAAATAATGTCATCTCTTCTAAAATTTGAAGGATAAAGGGCGCACTTTTGTGCGTGCCCTAAAATTAATGTCCAACAAAAAAAAAATTAAAAACACGGAGGGCACTTATTTAAAAATGGGCATCGTCTAGAAATGTCGCTTTATATTTTTTTAATGAAAGGCGCGTTCTTTAATTTTGCAGCTGGGGGGAAACGAAAATCCCAAAAGTTTGAAAGGCCGCCATTGTTATCCTCTACCTTATTTCCTTTTTTCTTTTCTATCTCTCTTTATATCTCTCTCACTCTAATACCCAAAAAAAACCCTAATTTCATCACCACTCCTCTTTTCTCCCGCAACAAAATCGCAATATCGCCAAAAATCTATGATCCCGTCTTTTGAACAGATCAAACCCACAGGGGTTCTCGATTTCTCTATGTTGATGTGTGGTGACACGAACAAAAAAAGAGTGTAGCGATTCTACCTTTCAATTTCATTTGTCGGATGCTTCAAATCGACTATTGTTTTGTCTCTCACAGGGGTTTCTTTATGCGTTCCCTTCACCCTCATTGATGTCGTTTTCCAAGGCCAGTCTGGATAATCAGCATCATCGGTAAGTGGATGCTTGCATTCTTAACTCCTCTCAACCTTACATCAGCCTCACGTGATAATGTGATTCACGAAACGACGTCGTTTGCTGATGAAAGTTGCCTTCTTGCTTGCTTCCGGTCAGCCTGACATCACATTGAGATGGAAGACTTGGTGGTGGGTTTTCCTTGTGGCCGGTGGAGTTTCTCCCAATGACGCTTTCCACTCTTACATCCCCTTTAATCGACACCTCTTCTTCTTTGCTGCTTACTCACCCTAAATCAGGTAATACCGATACCGACCTAGCGGTGGGGTTTCCTTCTTGACGGTGGTGGAGTGTTTCCCCAAAGCTACTTTGATTCAGTTCATCTTTATATTCTATTTGATTAGGGGTTCTTGTTACTAACCAAACAGTAGCCGGATGGGGAAGAAGCATCAGGGGAGGTAGGAGGTAATCATAAAAAAGCGACTTCAAACTGTTACACTTTCTGCTCTTATTATTATACTAACCAAACATTATGAATTTGTTGTGCAGATAAAATCTTCCTATGGAATCTCAAGGAATCTTTTAATTAAATTCAAAGATGATATGATTGATCCACCTTAGCTCAGGTGCTTAGCTCAGAGTCTGCCATTAGTTCAGTGTTGGATATGTCAATTCGTTCACTCCCTGGTGATCATGGACTTCCTTTACAACAGGTTTGGCTATTGTTGTTTCTGTTTGACTTATTGACTTAATAATATATCTTGTGTTGTAATTTGTAAACCTATTTGCATTGATCAGGCTTTGCCAGATGTCCCACAGGGAATGGTGGATGCTGTAAACAGGGGTGGAGAGCTATTTTCAAATTTAACTGCAGGGACACTTGAACAGATAACTTAAATGTTCCAAATGAGCAGCTAAAAATCCCAAAATCTCCCCCTATGAATGATGAATTGAGAGTCTCAACTGGCTCAAGAACTCTTGAACCTGTTGCATGTAAGTAATACTGTTTCTTATTCTTTTACACTTTTTAAAACAATCTAATTTGGTTTAAATATTTGTTCAACGACTTTTTTCTTTTTCCCAAAAAAATTTCATTGTTGTTTCATTTTAGAGTATAACATTAACATATGCCCGAAAGATGCATCATTTTTTACCTGTTACCATGGTTGTGGAAAAACTGAAATGTTGTTGTTGCATAAATAACCATTTTACCCTTGTGTTATACCTTAAAAATTAAGTTGCCACAAACGTTTGCTGCAGCAGAAGGTGTGATTCGAGGAAGATCATACAACATTAGGCTTGATGACCAAGTTCTACTAAGATTCTCACCCACAAAACCTGAATCAACTTATTACTTTGGTGATATGGTAAAAATAAACCTTTGTAATTTTTTTTTGACTTAATTTAGACAGAATAGCTTACTGGCTTAAGCAAAAAACTTAGCTTAATGTATTTAGGCACTACTTGTTTAGCTATTTACATTTACACCCCCCCCCCCTTTTTTTTCCTCCAGACAACTCCTCTCATGTTCTCCCTTCATGGTGGCCTAAAAAGGTTTTACATTATTTTAACGATATTTTTCTTATAGTTGGATTTGAAAACTGAAGTCTAATAGCTTCTTAAGATCAAAACTAGTGTAAAACCTTCTTAGGTTAACATATTTTTTAGAGATGAAATTTATTCACAATCAAAACAATTCGTAACTACTATGTCCGGTTAAAACTACTATTAATAGTATTTATGATTAAATTTCATGATCAATCTAAGTTGCTAATCTTATTGTAATTAAATATATTTTCATCTGTATTGTTATTTATAGAAAGTAAAATCTGATTTATAGCTGTTCTTAAATAAAGTCATCTGTTATTTATCATCATTTCTATATAGGCTAATATGTTCATTTACTAGGTTTTCCGACGGTTCATTCAGTATGGCACTTTATTCAGACATACATCATTACCCATTCAACCTATTTTCATTTTTTAAAACTACTATTAATAGTATTTATGATTAAATTTCATGCTACTTTTTTTGGGTACAATTCTCTCTTTTTTTTTGGTGGACTTATGGATTTGACTTGATGGCAGAAAGGAGATAGAACTCTGCCTCATGAACTAGTACAAACTATTGCCCCACCTCCCCTTGAAGTACAGTTGTAATAGGTGGCTTCCCCTGCTGTAGTTTTAACATGGTTAGCTTGAACCAATACAAGCTAACCATGATAGAGCTTCAGTTAGAAGCCCTGTGGAGTCCAATAACAAGGATCTTGAAGCTGTGACTATGTCTGCTAGAATGAACACCATTAAAAGAGAAGCGTATGAGGATAAAGCAACAACTAATGCACAAGCCACACCTACAATAAAGGAAACTCCGTCGGTTCCCCCCCCCCCCCTACAAAAGAAGAGCAAAGAATTATAGCATTTCCTCCTAAACAGGAACATGAGGTAAATGAGGGTGTAACGTACAAGGGTAAGGCAGTTGCATCAGGACTTGATGTTGTCCCTGAAACTATCCAATCTAGATTGACTTCACAACCAGGGAACTTACCTCAAACAAAAGATTTGGACCCTTCCAGAAAGTACCATGGTCCACTGTTTGCTGGATTTGAATCTAGAGAGAAAAAGGATAAGGTCGGATCTTGTTTTGAGGTTACTTATATACCCCTGAATCAACTTATTACTTTGGTGATATGGTAAAAAAAAAAAATCTCAAACCATCTTATTTTCCTTAATCCATATCCTTTCTTTGGTTGAATTACTTATATACCCCTGTGGATTTCTGATCACAGATAGGTGGAACTCTTACCTTGTTCCACGAGGAAGAAACTAGAAGATGTCTTGAGGTACTAACATAACAAGTATAACTTGCATTTTTTGTTCCATTGACATCAGTACAAGGGTATTTACGTCTTTTAACTCGTTTGGTTCATCTGTTCCAGCTTTTAGTATCCTTGGAGTTATCCGAGACTATAAGTCGTCGCTCTGCACATCCTTCTAGAAAATATTCCCCAACAATTACAAAGGTTTATCATCTGATTCTTTTGGATTTTTTTATTTTATTTAACTTATCTGAATTTATATATACACATATCCCAACAACCATACACATTACATCTCCTTCATCCTTCTCTATTTGTTCTCAGAATCAAATCAGGTTTGCTATCTCACTTTCAATAATAATGATTATAATAATAATTATTATATAGGTTATAATAATAATAATAATAATAATAATAATAATAATAATAATAATAATAATAATAATAATAATAATAATAATAATAATAATACATGGATGATATAATTTGTATAATTTGTATTATTGGATTACAAAAATAACACCATTCCTGTTTACAGTGTGATGAATTGTCCAAGAAAGGAAGAACAATAATGCCAATTGAATTTCAGGTTCCATTTTGTATTATTGGATTACAAAAATAACACCATTTCGTTAAAGAGGTACTGTTTAGAATCTTGCATGTATATATGGCTATATGTACTTCATACAAGTTTACATGATACTGTTCAATAAATATAGTTACTTTCTACTGCTTTGTGACGTTTTCCCCCTGACACTTTAAATAACAGAGTAAGGAGAGCATTCTAAACATTCTGGAAACTTTAAAAGAACAGGGATATGGGTACACAGAAGATTTTGGAAGTTTTAGTCATGTTTCTTGTAGATGACTTGGTCGTTCACTTTGCAACAAAGCCTCCATCACTTGGTATGTGTTGTTATCTTCTCTCTAGTCTTTACTTACACTGATTTTACTCAAAGTGGCATATTTCTATCTATGCTTGTGCTTGACATAACAAGTGCTATTGGCTACTTGTTGTGCCTTTGAAGGGGTATGATTCTCATCACATCACTGAAGAACATCTAGGTGGAAAAATAATATCATGTTCTGTTCTTCTTTGTGCCTTTGAAACTGCAGGAAAATGCTGGAGCCCTTAGAGAACCTAAGGACAAACTAGAGAAGTGAGTTGAAGAGCTGACATGGAGATCAGACTTTGAAAAGCATTTTAGGGTATATTTTTTTATATTTCTTGTATCTAATTAGCTTGTAAATTTTTGTTACAACTATTGATTTGTTTTATCTTTCCATGGAACGATTATTTGTATGACATTAAATTTTATATAACGGATTTTATTTTTTGTATATGATATTTTATTTTCTATTATGAGACATTAAATACAAATTTAATTTGAAAATTAGTAAATCTATAAATAATTTTTTTTTAACATTTAAAATTATGATACGCAAATATGTGTGTCATCTTCATTTATGACATGGCCTTTCTTGACAGGGGCTTTCTTGATACGCATTGCGTGTCATTAACACGCGCGTCGTAAGGTTACGACACGCGAATGCATGTCGTCTTCCTTTATGACAGGGCCTTCCTTGATATGCATTGCGTGTCGTAAACGTGTGTCGTAATTGCGCGTTGTAAATGAGCGTCGTAAATGCGCGTCGTCTATAGACGACACGCAAAAGCGCGTCGTCTCTCTTTATGACAGGGCCTTCCTTGACGCGCATTTGCGCGTCGTCTGAGCCTTTTACGACGCGCAATGAGCGTCGTAAAAGGCTGTTTTTCTAGTAGTGTATGCTAGGTCTTAATGATTAAGAACCATATCTGAATTGATCCTCTAAGTAAGTCTTAGTACAATTGTATGTCTAAGAAGAGGAATCAAGAATTGAAGAAATGGTTAAATCAAGAAGTCAATCATACTTCATTCCAAAACAAGTCTTAGAGTTAAGATTGTAACATTGAGTAATAAGAAGGTCTATAACATTCATAAAATGAGGAAAGTTGTGATGTCTTGGATAAGACAAAGACCAACTAGTACCTATTTATGAATTGTTTTTGATAAAAACCACACTAACTCTTGAATATTTGTCAAGAAATGTTTATTGACAAGAGAATCTTATATGTCGAAGAGTCAGTGGGTGCCTTAATGGTCTTGAAAGGTTTCAAGAACAAATCAAAATAGAGCTAATTGATCATCACTAGCACACGACTTGAGGTTTATAACCTATTGTGTTGACGTTATTTTGTTTCTGTGCCATTCCAATTGAGTTAATTATGCATGTGAGTTCTATGAGTTATCATTTGAATGCATAAAAAGGCAAAGACTTTAATCAATGAAAAGTACATTGATATGAAAGGGTGAGCTGCTTAACTTCTTGGAAGACATGGTGGGCAGCCATGTTACCATAAGGTAAGAAATCAAGATTGAGAATATTCGGTCCATATAAGTTTGGATTTGTCGCAAACTTTGGTTTTGACAAATTCACATGGATAGGAACACACACACATACACCATTAAATCTAAGTGTCATAAGATTCCCTTCTTCAAGAAAATGACTGTGAGGAAATGCTTTCACTAAGAGTGATTTCAAGAAGATAGTAATTGCAAAATTGTATTCTCGAATTCGATTATGGTTACGGTATCCCTTTCCATGATTCGAATTGTGAGATTTGGCAATTAGTCTTACTTGTTTAGACACACATATGAGTTATCTAAGGCAAAGGTGTATAAGTTTGAGAATCCTTGATAAAGGATTATCATAGCATTAGGTATTAGAAACGTGAACTTAAGAAATTCAATAAGTATTGTTTTTCTGGAAGTTAAGCTGTTTTCTGAATACATGTCAAAGCTAGTGGGAGCATAAGTGTTATGTTTATAATAATCATTATGATAGTGGGAGCATACATGTTATGATTATATGATTATTAAGGCAAGTATTGCAAGTTAGCAATATTAATTATAGAAAACAAGAGTCATACTTTGCAAAGTTGTAAGAGTTGAATAGTTGTTTTACTATAATTAAGGGAGAGAATATTATGCTTCATTTCAAATCTAAAGGATTAGGTTGTGGAATGTTAATAATTTAGTCAAGGATACATAGTGTGTTCTTAAATTTCGATTATGATTACAGGATTCCTCTTCATAATTCGAATTGTGAGAACATAGTACATAGAATATTATGGCAGAAGATTGATAAAGTATCAAATCTTTATGCAAAACATTATGAATCGTGTCCCATATGCTTCGGGTATAGGATCGATTGCAAATGCTATAATATTTGACCATTCTAAAATTTTCCAAATGTCTAGTGCATTTAGAGGGAAAAAGGACAAGAATCGGTTTTGACTAAGATAATTAAACAACTATCAAAGGACAATCCAAAGTTTGTCAAGGATTGGTCGCTTGTGAGTAGTTGGAAGTATAGTATTGGATGGAGTATATCGACATTATTATGAATAGATAAGATTCTATTAAGAATATGTTGTCATATGGTAAGTATGGAAAGGTTTCCATATTGGGAGTTAGATATTGAGAATTTATGTCTAGATTAGAAACTTTATGCAAATGGATGTTCAAAGAAATGTACTTTGAGTGAGAGACATCACATCTATGGAATTGGCTTGTAACAATCCCTGATAGAGGACTTTGTAATTTCATTGGCAATAGTCATTGTGACTTTAGTGTTGTGACATTACGAAAGGATCATTGCATAAAATGTTGGAATCTAACATATTTTATAAGTGGCAAGAATTTGATATTCTATCACTTGTGGAAAGGATTAGGAGCTGTGAAATGAGTATGATTGGAAATGTGTTCATTTGATCTATTTCACAAAGTAAGAACCATAGGTAAACATTGTGTGCATGCTGAGAGCATGGGACAGTTGTTATAATTCAAGTAAGAAGTTGATTACCCGAAACAACAAATAATGAGTAATCGATATGGTGATAAATAAAAGGTGTTTTATTTATACTCAAAGGTTTGAGGCCATATGGGATTAGTATTATTCTTGTGTTTCACTTTGCATGTTTTGACTTCCTAAATAATTTAATTGGTTAAGAACAGTCAAATTATTCAAATGGGCCACAGTCGTTCATATGTTGGAAGTAGGTGTGAATGAAGACTATCGTGAATTAGTGTGTGTATTGTCTAAAGAGTATTAGACATAAGCAAATGTTTGTTGCAATGTTCATGAGTGTTTATGAATATGATTTGAGCATTTTATTAAACCCCCGCTCACTTGGACCACTTCATGGATTTTATCACGAGTGATTGGTGAGACGATAACATCTTATATTCTTGAAATCGAGATGTGTGAGTTGTATCTTGCGAGTCGGTTGCACATTGATAATATGTAAACGCACCACTAACTTGGTGTTATAAAACATAGTGTTGTGTGTGATTTGGTGAGTAAGTTCAAGCGAGCATTGAGTCAAAGTTTATCCATTCCTTTTATCCAAAGTAGGATAAAAGCGATATCTTTGGGCCCCTCGATGATTTAGTGATGACAAACGTAAATGCTCGGCCGGGCTAGGGCTAATTTGATTTGTTCAATTAGTTAGTTGTCATAAATCGGAAGTTGAGAAATGGTACAGAGAGAATGATTAGAATTCATGTTTTACAATATCTACAATGGAGGAATATATGATCCTTTATCTAAAGGACATGCGTATCTAATAGGATCAGAGTTGACAGCGGCTTTGGAAAGCTATGATTCCAGATCAGGATCTGAAGTCATACGCAGAATAGTTATTAGACTTATCCAAGTGGGAGACTATTGGATTAGTTTCTAAGTCCATAACTATTTTGGTATGTACTTGACCCGATGGTGCATGGTCCTTTTGGGTTGCTTCACCAAAGCAACTTGATAGGATGAATTATGGAGAGAAAGGATTAAATATGATTTATTAATATATATTATGGGAATAATATATTAAAGGAGAAATCATATTGTTTAATTAATATTAGTCAAGAATTAATAAGAATTAAGTTTGTGACTAAAAGAGATTAATTAAACTTAAGGGACTGGAATTGTAATTATAAGATAATTGCAATTGGGCTATGGATTGCCTTATATTATAAGGTTGGACGAATTCTATGGGGAAACCCATTGGAAATCGTCCAAGGCCTTTAAGGAGAGGAGTCCATGGGTTGCTTAAGGCTTAAGCATCCAAATTAGGGTTTCCTTGTTAGATAACCCTAATAGCCTCACTATCTATAGAACCCTTATGCTCCAAAAACGTGGTGAACTAATGGTCTAGGGTTTCCACACGTTTTTGAAAGCCTCCTTCTCTTCTCTTCTTCATCCTCTTGCTCTTGGTGTTTGTGAACCATTAGAGGAGTGACATTTGTGACTCTAAACTTTCTAAAGTCATTACAAGAAGGAATTGTGATTGTTATTGCTACATAATAATCAAGGTAATATCTTAAACCCATTATATGTTAATATTGATTATCATATGCTAGATCTAGGGTTTATAGTCTTGGATAAATTGCATGTACAATAGAGAAACCTAGATCCAAGCATTAGGGTTTTGTATGAGCACATAGGATGTTCTTATGACTAAAACCCATCAATAACAAGCCAAGGGTAGTGTACTTACTTATTAGAAGCTTGTAAGGGTGATTAGGATCCAAGAACACTTGTGTGTGTTCTTGGTGTTCTTGGTGAAATTAAGAACACTTGAAGATCTATCAAAACGAAGAGATTTCATGGATGAAATCATGTATAATCACTAGATATAGAAGGATATCTACAAATCAAAGGAAAGAATTCTTACATATTTGGAAGATCAAGATGAAGATCTTATGATACTTGAGAGAGAATTCGGGATTCTAGGCTTGGAAAGGAAAGAAATTATCAAAATGATCCTGAATTATGTATATATAGGGAGTTTACGGTCACCATGACCATAAGCTCTAATCTTCTGACCGTAAACTCCTTTTGAGGAGTTTTACAGTTTGCTAGATGGTTTGGAACATTAACTGCTACATCCAAACACTAATTCCTTTGATGCAGTAGGCTCAGAATGCTCAAACAGACTCTAAACAATGCTAAAAGTTAGTAGAAATGAGTCTGACTTTGATTGAAATAAATGGTTTGTACAAGCTAGAAATTTCGGGTTGTCACGTCATCCCCCCGTTAGGGAGAATTTCATCCCAAAATTAGAG